GAGGCGGGAGGCTCCCTCGAGGCCGGGAGGTGGAGGCCGGCCCGAGCAAGAGCGAGACCCCGTCTCTACTAAAAAAAAATACAAAGAAACGAGCTGGACGCCTAAAAATATATAGAAAAAACGAGCCGGGCGTGGAGGCGCACGCCTGGAGTCCCAGGGGAAGAAAGGAAGCTGGGCCGCCGTTCGGCCGAGGCCGGCCTCCCCACTGGGCCTCCGGCTGGTCCCACTGCCGAAGTGGCTTTGGGTGTCTGACCCCTCGGCCCCGGGAAGCCGCAGGGAGACGGCAGAGCGGGCAAAGTCCCCCTTTACCGCCCGCCACCCATCCTGGGCCCCAGGGGAGGCTGGGAGTAGAGGCCGGGGGTAGAGGCCAGAGGTTGAGGCCGGGGGTAGGGATGGGAAGAAAAAGAAGAGGCTTTCCCCACCACCCATGCAGGTCCCCAGGCGAGGCTGGGAGTAGAGGCCGGCAGTAGAGGCTGGGGGTAGAGGTCGGAGGTAGGGATGGGAAGAAAAACACGAGCCTTTCCACACCCCCATCCCCCATCCAGGGTCCCAGGGGAGGCCAGAGGTTGAGGCTGGGGGTAGGGATGGGGAAAAAAAGACAAGCCTTTCCCCACCCCCACCCCCATCATCCAGGGCTCCAAGGGAGGCCGAGGGTAGAGGCCAGAGATAGGGACGGGAAGTAAAAGACCAACCTTTCCCCAGTCCCCATCCAGGGCCCCAGTGGAGGCTGGGCATAGAGGCCGAGGGTAGAGGCCGGAGGTAGGGATGGGAAGAAAAACACCAGCCTTTCTCCACCGCCCATCCAGGGCCCCAGTGGAGGCTGGGCATAAAGGCTGAGTGTAGAGGCCGGAGGTAGGGATGGGAAGAAAAACACCAGCCTTTCCCCAGCCCCCATCATCCAGGGCCCCAGGGGAGGCCAGGCGTAGAGGCCGCAGGTAGAGGTTGAGTGTAGAGTCCAGAGGTAGGGATGGGAAGAAAAAGACCAACCTTTCCCCAGCCCCCATCCAGGGTCCCAGTGGAGGCTGGGCATAGAGGCCGAGGGTAGAGGCCGGAGGTAGGGACGGGAAGAAAAACACCAGCCTTTCTCCACCACCCATCCAGGGCCCCAGTGGAGGCCGGGCATAGAGGCCGAGTGTAGAGGCCAGAGATACGGATAGGAAGAAAAAGACCAGCCTTTCCCCAGCCCCCATCATCCAGGGACTCAGTGGAGGCCGGGCGTAGAGGCCGAGGGTAGAGGCCGAGTCTAGAGGCCGGAGGCAGGGACGGGAAGAAAAACACCAGCCTTTCCCCACCACCCATCATCCAGGGCCCCAGTGGAGGCCGGGCGTAGAGGCCGCGGGTAGAGGCCGAGTCTAGAGGCCGGAACGGGGAGCGAAGGGCTCGCGAGCCGGCCGCCTCTTCCCGGCCTCCCTCGGGGCGGGTGGAGGCCGGGCCTCCGCTCCTTCCCCGCCGCCGACGGACTGTCCGGCCGCAGGCGACGGGCGAGGGCGGCGTGATCGGGCGCTCGCTGTTCAAGAAGGAGACGAACATCCAGCCGTTCGCGGGGCTGCGCGTGCGCCTGTCCACCGGCGAGCTCGGCCTCATCGAGGGCGCCTTCGGCCAGAGCGGCAAGTTCAAGGTCAGCGTCCCCGGTGAGTGGCGGGGCCGGGGGGGGACAGGCAGGCTCGGGTCCCCGATCCCGGATTGGCGGGGGTCGGTGGAGGCCAAGCAGGGAGGCCGTGGAGGGTGGCGAGGTCGGGATGCGGTCCGGGCAAGGGTCAAGGTCGCGGAGGTCGCGGTTCCGGTGTTCGGAGTCCGTTCTGGGGAGGTGCCGGGTCCGAGGGGAAGCGGGGCGGTGAGCGAGGGGGGTCTCGCTCAAGGGGGGAGGGGGCGGGGGGTGTTGGGGAGGGGGAGGCCGGGAGGGGAGGCTGGGGGAGAGAGGCTGGGGGTAGAAGCCAGGGAGAGAAGCCGGTGGTAGAGGCTGTGGAGAGAGGCCAGCAGTAGAGGCTGGGGGTAGAGGCCAGCGAGAGAGGCTCCGGGGTAGAGGCCAGGGAGAGAGGCTGGGGGTAGAGACCAAGGAGAGAGGCTGTGGGGTAGAGGCCAGGGAGAGAGGCTGGGGGTAGAGGCCAAGGAGAGAGGCTGGGGTAGATGCCAGAGAGACAAGCCAGGGAGAGAGGCCAGGGGTAGAGGCTGGGGGTAGAAATCAGGGAGAGAAGCCAGTGGTAGAGGCTGGAGAGAGAGGCCAGCAGTAGAGGCTGGGGGTAGAGGCCAGCGAGAGAGGTTGGGGGTAGAGGCCAAGGAGAGGCCAGGGAGAGAGGCCAGGTGTAGATGCCAGAGATAAAAGCCAGGGAGAGAGGCCAGGGGTAGAGGCTGGGGGTAGAGGCCAAGGAGAGAGGCCAGGTGTAGATGCCAGAGACAAAAGCCAGGGATAGAGGCTGGGGGTAGAGGCCAGCGAGAGAGGTTGGGGGTACAGACCAAGGAGAGAGGGTGGGGATAGAGGCTGGGAGTAGAGGCCAAGGAGAGAGGCCAGGGAGAGAAGCCGGGGAGAGAGGCCGGGGGTAGAGGCCAGGGAGAGAGGCCGGGCAGAGAAGCCAGGGGTAGAGGCCGTCCCCCGCGTCCCCCGCGACTCTGGCCCGAAGAGCCTCCGAGCCTCGACCTCAACCCAGAGCCCGGACAGACCCGGGGCCTCGCGTAGGGCGGAGGCTCCGGGCCTCCCTTTAGGCGGCGGAGGAGGCCGGGCCCTCCACTGGGCGAGTGAGGCCGGGGCGCCGAGACCCGGGGGGGTTCCTAGTCCCCCCACCCCGACCTCCGACCTCGGACTCCACGGGAGGCCCGGCCTCCACTCCTGCCCCGAGGAGGCCGGCCTGAGCAAGAGCGAGACCCCGTCTCTACCAAAAATACAAATAAATTAACCAAATAAATAAAAATAGAAAAAACGAGCCGGGCGTGGAGGCGCATGCCTGTAGTCCCAGCTACTGGGGAGGGAGGCCGAGGCAGGAGGCTCGCTGGAAGCCAGGAGTTGGAGGCTGCTGTGAGCGAGGCTGACACCACGGCGCTCACTCCCGCCCGGGCGACAGAACGGGACTGTTGTCCCAAAAACAGAAACAAAAACACGGAAAGCCACCGAGCGTCGCAATCGTGCCCGTCCTCAGCCTCGACACTTCCGGCCTCCGTTCCTGTCACCCCAGCCCGGCCTCGCCACGTCACCCCCAAAGGGAGACCCCACTGTGTCCCCCCATTGTCCCCCGGTTGTCCCCAGCCTCCAAGGCGGCCTCGCAGAGGCCACGGGGGGGAGGAAGGCCGTGCTGAGTTCCGAGAGGCCGGAACGACCTCGGCCTCCAAGCCTCGACCTCCGGGGTCTCGTTCCCACCGTGGAGGCCGGCCGCCAAAACCGTCCCCCGTCCGG